GAGAGAGAGAGGGAGAGTGTGTGTGTGTGTGTGTGTGTGTGTGTGTGTGTGTGTGTGTGTGTGTGTGTGTGAGAGAGAGAGAGAGAGAGAGAGAGATGTCGCTCGTGTGTTCTCTTTGAATAGGACACCCGTTTGTTCGAATAGAATATACATGCGTACTATTTGGATTTCTGGGGCCGGCATTGAGAATGAGTTTTTCCAAAAGAAGTTGAATAGTATGTACGTGCGTTTTGTTTGGGGGCAAAAAGTTACGGTAGCTTAGCGTCATAGTGCGGGCAGTGCGGGCTATGCCTGCACGGTGTTAACCCACAGACGTGTCCCCGAGGCTGAAGTGGACCCATTTTTTCCCCTATCCAATCTGGACAAGATGGTCTTTCAAGTTTTTTTTTGTCATTATAGTAGTATCACTAGCTTAGCACCCGCGGTGCAGGCAGTGCGGGGTACGCCCGCATAAAAAGCACTAACAAGTTGCACGGTTGAAGAAGGGGGAGCTATTGACCTTGGATCCATATATTGCTTCACCACACACAAAACACAACCAACAACTACTTTCACATAGCAAAAAAAGGTGCATGTAATCATTCAGTTATTATGAAATTGTACTATCATGTGCCTTTCTTAAACTAAAACAATATATTCTAATAAATACTTAAGAATATACATTCCTTCTTTTTTTTTTTCAAGTACCGAGGGAGAGGAGTTCCATACCCCACCTAACCCTGTTAGCCTTAGATTTGTATCTTGCTTCACCACAAAAAAAAAACAACCAAAGCAACTTTTACATAACAATCAAATATACGTGCAGTCGGTCATGGGTTGCGAAAGTCTACGTTTATGCACATATCTAAAACTAAAACAATATATTATAATAAATAGTTATGAATATATATATATATATATATATATATATATATATATATATATATATATATATATATATTTCCAAGTTGCATGTGAGGGGGAGGGGGGCTCGAACTTATATTCATATCTTGCTTCACCACACACAAAAGTCAATGAACAACTACTTTCATGTAGCAAAATTATGTACATGTATTGCTACACTCTACGTTCATGCATTTTTCTTACACTAAAATAATATATTTTAATAAATTGTTAAACCACCAGTACCTCGCCCAGCGATCTACCGCATAAAAAAACAAAGTAGAAACATTTATACTCGGATGAATTTGGCCGCCCTCCTGTAGTGGCCCATACGTTTCCTAAAATCATGGTTTGTAAGCAAGCACGATTTTAAGAAGTACTGATGGTTAAAGAATAGTCCTCTCTTTTCTTTCCAGGTTGCGGGGGGGGGGGTTCCCCGCCACCCTCCCCACGCACCACCCCCTCCCCCAATCGGACTTGGATGAAGTTGGATCCACATCTTGCTTCACCACACATTAAAGTCAACCAACAACTACTTTCACAAACAAAAAAATGTATATGTAATCGTTTACAGATTATAAAACTTTACGTTCATGTGGATTTCTTAAACTAAAACAATAGATTCTGATAATTAGTTAAGAATATATATTCTTTGTTTTTTTCAAGTTGTCGGGGGGTTGGCCCCCCCAATCGGCCTTGGATTCATATCTTGCTTCACCACACATAGAACCCGATCAACCATTACTTCAGATAGCAAAAAAATGTACATGTACGGTCGGAGGCCGGCTCAAACTCTATGGGAGGTCCGACTCTGAGTTTGGGGTCCGCCAAACCCGTTTTCAGACCTTTTTTTTATTAATTGAAGACGACATGAAGCACCTCCCTGCAGATTTTCGATGAACTTTGTTAATGAGAAAAAATATAAAAATTTGAAGAAGTTGTGGGTCAAATAAACTGATAAAAAAAACTATTTTTTATATTTTTTAATCATTATGTATTAATGATAAGTCAATCAATCAACCAACGCAGTCAATTGCTTGATTGCTTGCTTGATTTGTCAATTTAATTTATTGATTGATTGATTGACTGATTGTCGATGTGCATACATACACACACATATCCACACATACACATACATGTGTGCGAGCGCATGTGCACGCACACACACACACACACACACACACACACACACACACACACACACACACACACACACACACACACACACACATACACACACACACACACACACACACACTCCTCTGTGAGCTCAAATTTTTTCAAAGTTGTATGTCATTACATTAGCGGATGTAGGGTTAGGGGAACTCTCCTCTGTGTGAAGGGAACCTTCTTCTATGGTTTTATTTTTTTGGTGTTTGTG